AATTTATTTAGTAACATTCTATATAGTAGCCTATAACTAGGTTGTTTACTAGGCTTAAAAGTTATCTAGTAATTATATAGACGTTGTATTAAAAGCTTATTAAACTTATCTTAAAAAAAGACATATAATAAGTTATAGTAGTTTTAAAAGACTATTATTTTTAAGTTAGTGTGTTTTTAGAAAGCTAAAGCTTAGTCTATATTAGAAATTATAACTATATAGATTTTATAATCTAGTTATTAAGCTAGGGTTATAAATAGGGCAGGTCTTATATAGTAGATGTCTATCTGCTGTTTAAGTCCTAGTTTATGTCTAAATTAAGTAAGTAAAAGTTTCTTAAAGGCTTTCTCTTTTTTAGGTTTAGGCAGTTATTAAATTATTTTATATAGCCTATTTTAGTAAAAGGCCTAGCTTATTAGCCTTACTTAAGTAGTTCTTCTTTAAGTTATTAAAAAGTAAGTCTAAAGACCTTCTATATTAAGTGCTATTTAGGTGTTATTTAAGTGTAAGTGTAAGTATACATCTTAGCATTAGAAAGAGTTAAAGTTTAGAACTTACTTTTAGTAATTAAAGGCAACCTTATGCTAATATAGCTATAGTTGTCTTAGAATTAGGTTATAACATTTTATGTTTATTATATAGAGTTTAATCTACTTCTTATAGTGTTAGTAGGTAATTATAATAGTTATAGTATAAAAAATAGAACTTTTTTTAAGTTATTTTCTATTAAATCTAGTTAGGTAAATTGTTTAGGTAAGTAGTGTTAATTAAAGATTTAGTTTACACACTAGTTCTTTATTAATATAACTTATGCTATTTACTTCTAAGTTAATAAAAGCTTATATTAGGGCTAATACAGTTTTTTATTATAAACATATAGAAATATTAACTTAGTACTTTTAGTTATTAGTAAGGGACTTAGCTTATAAGTTAGCAAAGATCTAGTGTTAAATTAGTTCTAAGAGGCAACTTAGCCCTAAAACAAGCCTTTTTGTAGGCTTCTACTGCTATAGCTGCAGCTATGTTAAAAGTAGTAAGAAGAATTAAAGCTTAAATATAAGTTAAAGCTCTTATAAAAATAAAATTAAAATAGTAAAAATTTTTAATAAGTACTAGCAGCGCTACTTGCGCAGACTTAAGAAAAAAAAATAAAGTAGTTTTAAAAGATATAACTATACTTACTACACTTAAAGTATTAACTTTTTTTTTTATAATCTTTACACTTTCTAGAACTAACTAAAGCATAATTTAAATTAATTTTTATTATGTTAGAGTCTTTATTTGTAACTGCGCTAGTTTAGGGGCGTATTAGAGCTTATATAGGGAGGAACCTTATGTTATTATTATAGGTAGTAATTAGGTTTGCATACGCGTTAAGGTTGTTTAGAAGGGGTTCTTCTACTATAGCGCGTTACAGTTTAGTTAAAAGGGAGTTACATAAAGCTATAATTAGACCTATTTTATTTAGGCCTATATTAAATATAAGTTAGTAGAACTTAGTAAAGTGTAAAGTAAAGCTTTTTTTTTTTTATTATAAGGTGTTTAGGCAACTTAGGGCTGTTAACTTTTTATTTAAGTCTTTATAAGTTACTTATAAGAACACTATAAATTAATTTAAGTTAATAATATTCTTATTTATTAGTAAGTTAATTAAGGCTGTTATATTATAGTTAAGTTAAGAGTAAGCATATAGTAACTAGAAGTGTTTAAAGAGGAATTAGTCTATATTTCCTTTAAGTTTATATTAAAGCTTATGTAGGAAGAAAAGTAGGTCTTTTTATTTTTTATTAAACAGTAGGGGATTAGAAAGTTAGTTAGATTTTATTACTAAGTTAAAAGGGTTACAGGTTGTAGGCAGCGTTAGGCAGGAGAGAGTTAAGCTATCTCTAGACTTCTAAGTAGGCTTTAAGGCTAGTAAGTTCTTAGTTCCTACTACTATAATAAAAGTTAAGGCAGAAACAGACTGCTTAATAACGCAAAGCTGTTTTTTAAAGTCCTTTTAAAAAGCTTTAAAGCTTATAATATAGCAGCTTTTCTATAAAGTAAGCGCTTTTTAAAAGGCTTCTTAGCTTACTTTAATAGCTTAGAGTTGTATAAGTACTAAGCTTATTAGATTAGATTTAGAAGCTATTCTTAGCTAAAGTTTACACACAACATAATGTTATAATTATGTATAAGTAAGGTTATAAAGCTTTACAGAGGTCTAGTTTAATTACTACATAAGGTATTATAGTAAGTATAAGACGTTGTGTAAGAAATAAAAAGGTTTAAGAAGAAATTAGTAATTAAATACTTAGCTTAGAAGTCTAAGCACTTTAGGTATAAATTAAGCCTGTTCTAGGTTTAGTTAGTGTTAAAGCAGTTTATGCTTAAGTTTATATCTGTGTTGTGTTGTGTTTGTGTTAGACGTGCACTAATAATACTCTAGTACGCGTCTAATACAGTTATGTCTGGGATCCGGGGAGGATACCGTGACACTACCTTATTCTTTATAGTTAGTATAAGAAAGAAAGTGTAATTAACTAACTTTAAATTATCTACTATGCTTACCTTATTTACGCGTAGGTTATATGCTATATTAATCTTATATTTAAGTTTATCTAGTAGCAGGGATAACTAGAGAACTAATTAGGCAGGTGGAGCAACTAGCAGAGCAGGCGGAGCAGGCAGAGTAGGATCAACTATTAGGGGAGATGATGGGAGCGGCGACAATGGGATAGATACTAGCTTAATTAATAGAGTAGCAGCAGGCTGTATAGCTAACCTAGGGGCTGCGCGAGACTGCTTTTAGGCTAGAGGACTCTTATAAGTAACCACAACTACTACAGGCCTGCGCTAGCTAACTAACTTACGCTAACGCGCTGTTGCCTTACTAGCACTAGCTTGCTTAGCTGTTAGCTAATAAAAAGTACTAGTTCTTATACACGTAGCTACCCCTAGGACGCTCTCTGCAGCTTAGGCACTAGTTTAAGCTATTAAGGTTAACTAAAAGTAGCTACAACACTAAAAAAAAAGTTAGTATAGGCTATATACTAGTAAGTTTACAGCCTTAACTTACATAGTAGTAATAGTGACAGATTATGTTGATACTAAGCGCGTTATAGGCATATTTAGTAGTTACTGCAAAATTTGGGGGGGCGGAGGGAATTTGCTGATGACGCGCCAAGGATCCACCGATTAATGCATATAACAGATTAAATTTAGTATATACCTCCTTTCCTATCCTCACGGATCAGGTTTGCCAGCTCCTTATACAGCCGCTGGGCCAAACCACAACCTGCCTTCTTTACCCCGCTATACCTACACTCTGCTAGACGGACTGTACACCCGATCTAGCTAAGTCCTACCCCCTTTTCGCTAAATTCCCACAGGCCGTCGTACTCCCGAAAATACCATTTCGCCGGAGTAAGGATTGTAACACCCCCCTCCTAGACAACTGCTGTACAAATGCAACTAGCACCCCCCCTAGACAACAGCTATATAACTAAAGCAACTAGCAAACCTTTACTTTATTATAGAATACTTGTATAATAAACTAGTAGAGATAACCTATGTGTCTAGAACAATACTATAAAAGAAGGTTAACCTTACCCTTCTAGTAGACTACCTTAACATGTTAACAAATCCCTTCTAAGTATAACAAACCTTATATGTAGCAGATACTCTTGTCTTTATGTGTATAAAAGGGTACAGTCTATCTAACTTTATAAAAGACTTTAAAGGCTAGACATAACAGGATTTTAACAACTTATCTTGTGCGTTTAGGCAAGAGCTCCTTTATGCTCTAGCTAAGCACAGGATCTATTCTGTAGGAAAGAGATGCTGTACGCAGGCTAAAAAGCTAGTAGGTGTTGCAAACTAGCAGTACACTATAGGCCTTGTACAAAGAAGAAGAGGAAAGGATGCAGGGGATAGTACAAAGAGGGATAAAAAACAAGGCAAGGCAGGTAAGCAACTTAATTTACAAAATAAAAAGTTGCTAGTGTCTGTACATAAGTATAGCTAAATTAGGTTGCCTAAAACGTTAGCTATCTAGCCTGTGCGTTAGGGGCTATGTGTACTTAAGAGCCCTCTCTCTTTGTACAAAGAAAGAGGGCTCTTAAGTACACATAGCCCCTAACGCACAGGCCAGATAGCCAACGTTTCAGGCAACCTAATTCAGCTGTACTTACGTACAGACACTTTTATTTATTACTTAAAATTAGCTTTTTATGCTTTTTATCTCTTAAAACTATAAGGTTAGCTTCTTTAATTAAGGCACGCTATATAGTAAAGACTATACTTATACTATTAAGCATTCTTTTTTTTAATATACTTTTTTAGCCTAAGAACTATAACTTTTTTTATAAATTTTTTAACATAATTTAATAGGTAGGCTTTGCTCTATGTAATAGCTATAGGATCTTTAAGGTAAAGCCTCTACTAAATTATATTTAGGTTTATTTTATATGCATTAAAGAACTTTAAATATTATGTTAGTCTTTAATAGCTTTTTAGAGTATAGTTTTACTTACTTATTCTAAGTTTTTATAAGCTATTAATAATAAGCTTTACTTTTATTTTTAATAAATTTTTTTTTTTAACTAGAGTAGCTAAGTATTTTTAAACATTTATTAGTCTATAATTTAGAGCGTCTAGCATTAAATAGTTATTCTAAAAAAATAAGGCTTTTTAGATAGGCGTCTATAGTTGTAATAGTTTAAAAGGAGTACTAAAAACACTAAGAACTAGTTAAGTAAAAAAGCAGTTATTTTCTAGCTATAGTAAGGAGTTATACTTGTTTATAGCTAGTAAGTTATTTTTACTTCTCTCACATAAGTAAGAAGAAGAAGGGGGCAATTTCAGACCCTAAGCCTAAGCAGCCTAACTACAGAGATGTGCCTCCACTAAAGTTTCTAGAAATAGGTGGTTTTAAATATTAGACAAAGAGACTATACATAATCTAAAAAATAAGCTAAGCAGTAAAAATTACAGGTCACGTAAGTAGTTAAACAAAGTTAATGTTGTCGCAAGTATAGGTTGGGTTTGCACTATACAGACTCACCACTGACGACAAAGCCCTACGAAAAGGGTGGCATATGCCGCTGAAAATGGCGGCAGAATGTATATAGCTTTTTAATACAAACGTATTAATATTTTCTTACTGTCTGCCTTTCTACCTAAGAATCCTTGACGAAAGCTCTAATCTGAGAACCCGCTCATGCAACGAGGCCCCTGAATCAGACCCCCTCATGCACGGCTGAGCAAGACTGAGCCCCACCCTGAACAAATCCAACAGGCCCATGAGCTCGCTCTGAGCCAACGTGAGCCGGCGTGATCGTGCTTGATTTAAGCCTAAGCCTCTCTAATTATGCCTGATTTCATCCCAACGTGGCATAAAGAGGGTCTGAAAATGGGCCTAATCAGCTTGTGGGAATGTGAGGTGTCAAGGACTGAGTGATCCCAGTTTCGGACCACAATCTTCCATGGCTTAGCTCCTTGAACCCGTGCCGGCAATACTGTCTTCCTGCCGCCTGGCTCTCAGACTCGCTTACCACCGCTTCCACTGTTATCATTCTTTGGCACTTGTGTTGGTCTGCATTTCATGGTTGATCAAACCACTCATTTTGTGAGCCCGGCCCCCCAGCCATGTTGGCCTTGCTGATTCTTCTTCAGAATTTCATCACGGGGGAGTTAATTTTGGACAATCTCGCCAAGAGAAGGGACCAGCAGAGACTGTATCAGGCATTGATTATCTAGAAGACTAGGTCTCTAATTTCTATACCCCTTGGTTCAAGCAAAACATTCTGGCATCAGCTACCTAGCCTCTGCGCCTGGGCTGGGCACCTGGTTCTTAACCCAAACATACTTTGGATTATCGTCAAAAGTCCCAGTCTCGCAGATGCATGTTGCACATCAGAATGCTTGTACAGCAATCGTATTGACAATGTCGAACAGCGAGGTTCCTGGTAGCACTCTCTGTCCACCGAGACAGAAGGCCTCTGTACAGGAGCCTTCTTTGTCTATACCACACTCTTCAACATCATAGGCTTTGCAATAAGTGCAATGCTTGCAAGTTGTAGCCCCGTGGCAGCAGGTCTTGGTGTGTTTGCAGTCTCTTGGCCAGACATCCCCAATCAACTTCTTCCACTCCGTAGAAACAGTAAAGTCAGAGTCTCCTTCTGGCATTGGCATTCCATCCTGTAGCATGATTGTACCTCGCTTCTCATGGAATTCGAACTCAGTCCAGCCAACGTTGTCTAGCTCATCCTCAGCCTTAATTCTAAGTCCGAACTTGAACCGCAAATTACGCTTAGAGACAATAGCGCAGAATTCTGTCAGAAAGGGTTCAAAGTTTGCCATGTCGGGCGCGACATGGCTTGAATACTCGTATGCCTAAAGGGAACCTTGGTCGTTGACAAAGTAATGGAGACCGTGAAGTTAATGAATGCTTCCCGGCACGACAGGCTTCATGATTTGCGCAATGCCGTGGCCCAGGATGGTGACTTTATCAAAGATCATGACTTCTCCGTCCTTAGTGTCAAAGTGCTTGTGAATAAGTCGAATGCTGACACCCTTGGGAACCTTGTGCTTGTCGAGAAGTTGGCGGAGATCTTTGAGATCGTCCGCGTGGTCTTCAGGGGCATTGGCAACGTCCCTGATATGCGGTAAGCTATTGTAGGTAGCGAATGGGACGAGAGTCTCAGTCAAAGACGCCATGATGGTGTGCGATGTTGTTGTTAAGGCAGAGAGGTACTGCTGCTGTTGCGAGCTGGTTTTGAAGTTGAAGGCGATGTTTGTTCGATAATTCAATGTAGCCAAACCAGTAGAACCTGCTCCATATTTATATTTCTGCCGACCATTTTCTGATTTTCAACCGCTAATGACAAATTCGAGCCCCGACTTGTTGCTTTGGGGTGGAGGTCGACGAAATGGCCTCGAATGACCTGATTCCTTCGATGCGGCATCCAATCATCTCAATCATCTCAATCAGTTTGTAGAGCCGACTACAGATCATGCTTGCTTCTAGCGCGGAGTCTATGGAGTCGATTGGCAGTCGTCACGGCTTGATCGGGGCGGGTAGCCGCGGTATCCTTATCCTGACCAGTGAATGAAGCTAACAAGGTGCTGAGTACGGAGGGAGGCGCCAAAAGTTGTTGCGCAGGCCCGTGCACCGGAGAATCAGGCGCCAGACGCCAGGACAGCTTTTTCGGCCCAAAATCAGCCAGTCGTGTCCGCGCCTGGACCTCGCGGTGTGCTTCATGTACTGTGATACAGTTTTTGATGCAGTAGCTACTTCTTAAGAGCCTAGTTTAAACTCAATCTTCTAAGTGAATTACTATTAAAAATAAGCTCTTCATCAGCTTTACAGGAGGCATTTGGTGCACGGGCCTGCGCAACAACTTTTGGCGCCTCCGTATGCATCTTGATAAGACGAGCGGGTTGATGGAAGCGCGACGAGATTCCCCTATCCAATGATTGATGAATTCGCAGGGACTGGCCAGACGCGTCCGCCTGAGAACTCAAGGTTGCCTGGCGGTATGCATGTGTATTAGCGCCATTAACGCTTGTTGGTAACCACAGGGCGCCATGCCAAGACTGCTATTATTCCTTGTTCGCGTTAGACAGGCAGAATTTAGAGAAATTGCTATGCGTGATCCAAGTCTCAACCACGAACCCGCTAACAGCGCGAGTTTGGCATTTCCAATCACTCTCTGGGTTTTCTTCCAAGCCGAATGACAACAACCACTTCCTTTCTCCAAATTACGAGCTAGCTCATACCAAATATCTTCCTATGGTATTGAACATGTCCAAGCAATCTCAACCGCAGCTGTCCCACTATTCGCTTGATGTGGGCGGAGAAAGTGGAAATTTAGAGATCCTCGAGGATGTCTTCGACAACATCAAGGATCGCATCCATGGCCCACTCGGAGACTTTGAGCCATGTGCTAGCGAAGATATTCAAACTGCGGCAAAGACGAGAGCATTTCATTTTCTCCGGGCATCACCTTTTGTTCTGCCGGATCGCTTTCTATCGTGGTTCGCAAATGTCTGCGCAGTAGAATCCGAGCCCTCCCAAAGCTTGTGGCACATGAATGTTACCAGTGGCGGAGCGCATATCTTCCTGATACCTTCGAAAACGCTTCGCTCCGGCAAAGAGATCTGGGGAGATGTCCGGGCTATTGGAAACTTTTCTCAAGATGACTCTACTGGCTACCGAGACGGACTGCTGGATCTCTCGCTTCTTGCACGCCAAGTATTTATCAGCCAACCGCTTCGGCTTTTCTTGTACGGCTTCTACGTTCGCGAATCACACCTAGAGCTATGGATGTTCGACAGATCTGGTATATGGTGCTGTCAAGCATTCAACATCCAGCACGAGCCAGAGCGGTTCCTTTCTCTCATTTTCAGCTACCAACTGATGTCAGACCAGGACTTGGGGCGAAGCAAAATCATCCAAAACGACGAAAATGGGAATTTTGTCATATTGGATGAAATCTCCCAGTCATCAATACGAAAGTTGTACCTTGACGATCAAACTATTGCGTCCTCAGAGGACATGGTTGGCCAAGGAACGACTTGCTATCGTTCTAGGTTAGCGGACTCGGGTATATGGGACTACGTGGTCAAGTTCTCCTGGCGGGCGAGTACTAAACGACCGGAGGAAGAGATTTTCAAGTTTGCGATGGACAAGAAAGTTTGGGGTATTCTGTCACTTCACTGCCACAAAGTTATCAACAGTACCGCCAATCTGCGAAGATCTCTCAAATTTGGGCCGTACCGCGAATTTCTCCCCAAGTCTCGTCAGCCAGAGAAGTCGGACAGATCGGAAACAGATGAGAAAAAGGAACAGGACATTGCACAGCACACCAGGGTCACTAAAACGCAGTTTGAAAACCGTGAATTGGTCTGTATCGTCACCTCTCCAGCTGGCCGGCGTCTTGAATTATTCACAACTCGACTTGAGTTGCTGCTCGCAATGCGCGACGCCATCCGCGCTCATCGTTCCCTGTTGCAGGATGCCAGAATCCTGCACCAAGACATTTCGCCCTGGAATATCATCATTGTCTCCCCGCGAAGCCCAGGCGAACCACATGGCATTCTGATCGACCTCGACGCGTCCATGAATTTGGATATAGGACCGCGGAGCGAAGGCGAAGTAGTCGGCACTCGACCATTCATGTCCATTGGCATTCTCCACAGTCGGCGACATACCTACCGTCACGATCTGGAATCTTTTCTCTACGTCTTGATATGGCTTCTTATTGTGAAAGACAAGGGAAGCCCACCACCTGGAAGCAGGCTTAAGATGTGGAATCGAGGAACTTGGGAAGAATCTGCAGATGACAAGGAATACGACATGGCTGAAGCCAACTTTGGAAGAATGATCCTGTCAGAGTTTGCACCGGAGTATGAATCGCTCAAGCCACTTGCTGAGAAAATGCGTAGCCTTTTGTTTCCTATAGAAGATGGCAAGCTATGGACTGGAACGGATGGTTCGGTTGCCGCTACTAATGCGTTGTATGATGAGCTGATTGGCGCATTTGAAGATGCCGTGCTTCGAGAGAAGGCATTGGTAACTTGAGACTATGAAGAGGGTCGCGGCACCAGACAATCGCCAGCGATTGGGTTGATCCGATGCCTGATGGTTTGCGATAGTTGAGCAGTGATGGCGAGGGACTCGGGCATTTGAGGATGTGGGCGGAGAACCTGTGGGCGTGGAAAGGACTTGTATGTAAAGGACTTGTCTGTGAAACTGACGGCGGCAGCGAGGCGGGAAAGGTCGTATGGCAGGTGCTTTGGCCTGAGATTGGCAAGGCAAGCTGGTCTGGTGGTAATGGGATTGCCTTGAAGCACTTGAAATATGGTTGCAAGGGACGAGTAACAGTAACAGAGAGATAGTTGCCACGGGAAGTAGGGCAGCGGAACGTGCTGCGGCCTTCCCAATTCTAGCCATCATGCTTCAAATCCAGGACTAGTTCACTAATTCAGCGTTTACACTCACAGCTTACTGTCCATCAGCAGCGCGGCTTCGGCCTGATCAATGAAAACGCTTAGAGACCGCCAATCGAGTCCATGTCCACCCCACACCAATCCCATTTCAGACCCCTCGGATAGTGCCCGATTTTGGGTCTTTTTTCGGATCATACTAATTTGCAATTCTCACTGGAACACTTCTTTCACAGGTTAGCGATAAAGCACATGAACAGGCAAAACTTCATGTACGGATGTTAGGCTCGGTCCGTAAATGGCAGGACAGTACGGGGAGCCAAGGTGGTGATTAAGACGGCGCCCCTTGAATAATTCAGAGAGGTGCCATTAATTGTACTCATAGACGGAAAAGTATATAGATTGTGACAAAATAATGCAGAGTGAATACTGAACTGCAGTTGACACGAAGGAAGTAACTCTGAGAAGCGAAGCTTAACTAGGACGTAGCAGCTCTCAGCAGCGGCTCAAGGGCTTCGGAGCACGCTCATGGGAGAACCATGCTCCGAGTAGAATGAACTCCGCGAAGAACTCATCCGAGGAGAAGAAAGCTCAGAGAAGAGGAAGGCTCTTAGGAGAGGGAAGCTCACAGGAGAGGAAAGCTCCGAGGAGAAAAGAGTTCTCAAGAGAACCGCAGGTACCAATAAGCCTCGAATCCATATCAATGCAGGCATTTGTCCATCATTTTCAGCCGCAGTACTACTTCATATTCATGTGCCAATTCTCATCGCCAGTAGAAATCTCCTTAGAGCACATGACCATCATCAACTCAGGGGATAGCGCCCTAGACCTTTAAAATTAAACATCTTTTAACTTGCAAAAGAATTTCAATTTCTTTTTAGTACAGGCTAGAGATCATAAAGGAGATGCAGCGCCTAGCGAGAACTCTGAGCATCGCAGAGCTCGGAGGCGTTTGGAGGCTTCAAGGCGATCAGGATCGGATGCGGCGTTCAATCGATCAGTTCTGTAAACGATTGCGTCCAAAGCGTCGAAATGGCTAGCCTAGAGTGTTAATACCATGCCATGTCGCCGTGAGATGCGCCATGTCATAGCAATGTGCGTGATGTGTCCCATGCCATGGAGATGTGAGTTATTCCAATCGCGGCTAAAACTGATAACGTACCTAACAGGTTGGCCGGCCACTTTTGCCAAGCCCCCACTAAAACCACCCTATTCTAGCGCAAAACAGCCCACTTTAGCCCTATATAAAGTAATATAACATAAGATATTATTTAGAGTCTACTTCTACTACTTACTTACATATATATAAGTTATGCCTAGTTTAATTACACTACTTATATTACTTTTAACTTAGCTTACTTTTTTTAGTGTACACTTATGTCTGTAACGATTCTCGTTCCATCTCGGGTCGCCCGGAACCCATCCGAAGGGTCCCCGTATCGGCTCGACCCTGACTCGACCTGGCCCCAACTCTGCCCCCTGCTGTTACCCCTATTCCCTTATGTATTTAGTTGCACCTTGCCCTGTAGCTAGCTTAGTAGTTTTCTAATATCCTTTTGTACAAGGCCTATAGGTGTTAATAGGATTCCTAGGTTCAGAGTCCCCACGCACTCCCATTTGCCTCTGAGTGGACTCCCACCGCATTCGGACCCATTGTCTTGCCTGCGCCGTTACATGTACCTATTTAAGATGCTATATCTTTAAGACCTTGTTAATAAAAAGCTACATAAAGAACTGCATTTGCGAAATTTTGTTGCACACGCAGCATTAAGTAAACAACTCTATAAAATGCAGATAGACTATAATATAAAAGATTGTGTACTAGCTAAAAAGAATAGTAAATCTTTCTTAGAATTCCTTACTTATACCTAAGCTAGGACAAACACGTCTAGCTCTGCGGCCTCAATGTCTGGCCTTTGTGAGCAGTATAGGGCAATAACGCTATGTAACAATAAGAACAATAAGGAAATATTATAAATTTAGCTAAAGTAGGATTAATAGTAGAACTCTTAAGTAAGATGTGTTTTAAACAATTATGTTATCCCCCCTACGTCGCCGTGTAAGCTAGGTTACAGGGGGCTGGTATTCAAGCCCTTCTTAGACAATCATTTCAGTAATTTAGTAGTCTCAAAACAGGTCCCCCATCGGCACCACATTCATTAATGTATAATAATTGCTCTCTCGCTTAGTAGGCTCTTTGCATACACATACATATATCCTGTGAATAACATTGTGACTATTTACTACATAGAACCTTAAATACGTAACAACAAGTTATTGCTTTTAGACTTGTCTGCAGACTTAATCCTTAAAGCTAAAGAAAATCTCTATAAACTAATTTATTAAGCTAAGCAGATCTTAGACAATTTAGAGCTTGCTCTAGATATTTTAGCATTCTTACAGCACTAATACACTGTTACTAAAGGTTGTAGCACTTTGCAGCCTTACAATTAGACTTTAATCTTTAAACCCTCTTCTAGACAATACCCTAAACTAAGAAGAAGTTAAAAGTATGCTAAGCTAAGAGATGCCTTCTAAAGCATTGTTAAGGCATAAAGATTAGAGATGTAGTATGTTAAGTGTAACGATTCTACGAATTGTTCTATCTCGGGTCGCTCGGATCCTATCCGAAGGGTCCCCGTATCGACCCCGACCATGACTTGACCTAGTCCCCTGCAGTTACCCCTATTCCCTTATATATTTAGTTGCACCTTGCCCCTGTAGCTAGCTTAGTAGTTTTTTAATATCCTTTTATATAAGGCCTATAGGTGTTAATGGCATTCCTAGGTTTAGAGTCCCCACGCACTCTTATATGCCTCTAAGTAGATTCCCTCTGCATTTAGACCTATTATCTTGCCTGCGCTGTTACATTATATTAAAAAACTTACTTTTACTAGTAACAGCTTTATTAATAATATTATATTAATTATTTATTTAACTATATTTAACTCTAAAAAGTGTTTAGTTTAGTTTAAAGTATAGTTTTTACACACTATTATATTAAATTATTTAGTTATTATAAATAAGATTTTAAAGACTTTTTATTAACTAAAGCTTTTAAGTTTAGACCTTTTTATCCTTTATAATTAAAATTACCTTTAAAAAAGTTATAAAAAGTGTGCTAAAGTAGAAACTTAAAGACTACTAATAACTTATTAAAATTAGAGATAACTACTAATGCCTAACTTTTAACTACTCTTAGACCTTAGTATAAAGCTTGTAACATGCTTTAGCTATAGCTAAGGTAAAATGCTTACTACTAAAGCTAAATAACTACTAACTTTAATAGCTAAACTTTTTTATATAGAACTTAAAGCTAAAAACACACTAGATTTAAATTTAAACTCTAGTAGTATAGCCTTTAAAAACTAAGTTGCTTAATTAAAAGTATAAATTAAGTAGCTAACTAAATTAAAAACTATTAGTCTTAATTAACCTTTACTAACTACTAAATTACTTTTAATAATGCCTTAAATTACTTTTACTATATTAATAGTAAAAGACTTTTTAGGCACTTTTAAGCTTTCTTAAAGCTACTTTACTAAATATATACTTAAAATTAAGAACTTTATAAACAGCAAAGAACTTATATTTAAATAATAGTAAGCCTTTATTATAGATAGACTTAACATTAATTTAGATTACTATTAGAGTAAGTAGACACATATAGTGTTAGTATAGAGACACACTGCTAGTATTACAAAGAAATACCTAGAGCCTAGATACCTAGCTAAATTAGACAACTTTTAGTTTAAGAACATAAAAAAAATAATTAAGCTTTTATAAACATACTTTATTACTAGTAATAAAAAAATAAAAGTGTAATAAGCATTTTAAACTTTAAGAATAAGTAAAAAAGAAGTGTTTTTTACTTTTAAAGCTTACTTTATTAGCGCTACTATTAAAAAGTTTATATTAAAGTTAAAATAGTTCTTTTTGTTGAATAGGCTCTAACAGCTAGCTGCTTATAGTATAAGCACTTAAGTAGCAAGAGTAAGGGTGGTGTACAGTGTGCACAGCGTATAAGGTAGGTAAGGTAAGAGCAACATGTTTCTAGTTCTATTGCTCTTGTCTTTCCTCTGTATAGAGAAAAAGAGGGATATCTAGATGTTTGCACATAGAGGTTTACGCATAAGCATTATGTAACATAGATACATAATCCTGCTTATGCGCAATTATTTATATCTAGGCTGCAACACTGCTGCTGCGTACAGACACTAGCAACTTTTCTTTTTGTCTAAAGAGTTGCCTTCTGTACGCGTTACCTCCCTTCTGTCTATATAGGTCTATCTAATTATGTTCTGCCTTTACTCTACCTTATTTATTAAGACTTGCCTTAGTAATGCTGTACATTAAAATAGGCTAGTTACACTATATAGATAGCTCTATAAATAGTGTAGAGTGTTTTAGGCTATTATTATCTAGCCTTTATGCGCTTGCCTTGTAAGTGATTTAGCAGTGTATAAACTATTTTATGCAGGGTTTTGTGCTAGAATAGTGTGGGATCTTTGCGTAGGCAGGTGCGTAGGGAGGTGTATATAATAAGGTCTCCCCTCCTCCTTTACCTTCTCTTCTTTATCCTTCACTCTCTAAGCCCTACTGTACTATTCCCTAGCTCTTTTCTCTTTTTGTACA